ATTTTGTGACAGTTTGTGCTTTAGCTTCATGACAATACAGATAATAGTTGCTGAAATATTTTACCTTGTACCTGGTGAACATAAAACAGTGCTGTCAATTAGCTAATATCAGAGGAAATGGGCAAAATGACCAAGTTGTATAAAAATCACAAGGACAAGCAGTAAATGAAAATAATCCCTGAGTTGTTTTCCTTTGTATGTTTCTGGTGCTAAACTGGTGAAATAGTGAGGACTGGAGCACAGGGAGAGTCTGCACACTGTACTGGACCTTTGCCCGCTCTAATCACGAGGCTATTATTGCCATCAGTGCATCTCCATCCTTGGTTTTGGTTCAGCTTCCAGGAGCCATTTGTGAAGCAGCAGAGCAGGAAATGAGGTTGGTGCACTGCAGTTGCCCAAGCCCGGAGGTTGTGCTTGAAGGACCCACACTTTAAGTCAGCACGTTGATTATTCAGCCACCCCACCCCCACTTTCCCCCTCCTCCCAAGGCCGGACAGTGTGGGTCATCGGTGGGGGGTACTGGTGCTGAAGACAGAACTAGGATTCATAAAGTGCCGGTAATAGACAGAGACATCACTGCTCGCCAGATTTATTATTGGCCAAAAAGCAGGCGCCGCAAAGCCAAATGATTGATGAGGCTTTGTGACATGGTCAAAGCACTGGACCTACTGTTGTTTTTTTTTTTTTTGGGGGGGGGGGGGGGTTCAGATGAGACTGGAGCCATTTGAAATTAGTTTTTTGGAGGGTGTCTTATTTTTCTTTCTCCTTGGAAATTGCCGTTTCCTTGTTATGTCTTTTCCAGTCCATCCTACCAAACTTTCTCCGGACTTTTCTATAATCAGAGTATACTTTCAGCCTTTGTGTGTGTGTTAGTTATCAGGGAAATGCCTCCATTATTCATAATGCTGTTTATCTAGGAGTAATTGCTTACAGTTCCCCAAGTCACAAATTTACTCCCTAAAAAAAGAGTCAATAAATGCAAACAATAAAGTAACTGCCTGTGCAAAGAGAAAAGACAAAAGTACAACATTAAAGAGCCTTTATGCATGTGTTCCTGTGAGATAATACCTGAGAAGCTGCATGAATATTTCAGCTTAAGCGTGAGGTTACCTAAATCAGTTAACTGCCTATTACATGTCATCTTGCAGAGTGGGTTGTTTTCCTTTACTGAACGGAAATAACAGTGACCCTAATGGTCACAGCTTGCCTGATGGTTTATGAATTACAGTATCTGTGGAGAGCATAAAGCCTTATTCATTTCAGAAATGAAAGAATCGAAGCATATGTGGAGCTACACAGAGCATGTGTCATGTTAAACAGAAGAAAATCCAGACTTTTATTGTAAGAAACTGTCATACTGAAAGCGTTTGTCTGTATACAAGTGATTGCTAATGCAAGTCTGTGTGATCTTTGACTGACTGTGTCAAATCAGCTGTACAGTACCCAGAATCTTCCAATTAAAGTGGTGAATTGGTTATGATCAATCAGCCAAATACGTGTAATATTCTTCCTGACGCGACTGCACGACACGATGAAGACACGCCTCTGCGTGTTCAGGAGAAAATAATCGCTGTGCCATCTGTTAGTGTGTTTGATAAATTATCAGCTTCACTGCTACAACAATTACTTTCTGACAGTTTTGGCAGAATCAATAATTTACAAAGGAAACTATGCTGCATGAAGTCTCACTTCTCTCCTCTGGACTGTTAATTGTTTTTAAGTGTTTGGTGCACCGACAAATCAAATGTACTATTAATGTAAACAAACGAGATGACTGAAAGGCAAATGATAGCTCGCTTCACACATCATGAGCACTGATAGAGACGGGTTTTATCAAAATTAAGAAGAAAAACAGGTTGTTATAGATTTGTTTTTTACTGGCTTTTCCCTGTGTTGTGAAGCTTTTAAAGAGTCACTCTTAAGCTAAAGAGTGATGAGAGTTTCTTCAGCCATCATGTCTGCAGCTTTACATCTTAAGAGGCTATTAGTGTGTAATGGATGCAACTTTCTAAGAAGACTGTCATATAGTTCTAAAAGTCATGGCCACTATATTAGGTATTTTTGTTCAGCTGCTCGTTAATGGACTGGCAGTTCTTTGGGTTAAAATGGTTTGTTGATGCCAGACGTCAGAGGAAAAGTGCCAAGAGTAACTCGAATAACCAACGTTTACCAAAGTGCACCTCTGAACAAACAGCACATGAAATCTTGAAGCAGCAGAACAGCCACTCCTGTCACCTGACAACAGAAAACTGAGGCTGCAATCACAGGGGCTTGCCAGAATTAGACAACTGAAGACTGGAAAAATCTTCCCTGCTCTGATGGGTCTTGATTTCTGCTGCCACATACAGACTGTAGGGTTAAAATTTGGGTCAAAGTACATGAAAGCATGGCTCTGTACTACCTTGTATCAATGATTCAGACTGGTCATGGCGCAGATTTTGTAGCAACTACTAGCCCCAGCTCAGCTGAGTCAGTCTTTCCCTCATTCCGAGACCTCTGAAAACGCTTCCCTGATGGCTTTACAGACTCAGTCACTATTTCAATGTCATATTAAATAAACCATTACGTTCATTTGGTAAATTATGGTCATTATTAGAGTCAAGAAGGAAGATCATCCAGAATATCTTGATTGGCTAATGAGGTGTGGTGCCTTGGCTTCTCACACCTCGCTTTCAAAACATGAAGACGGCAACGCTTAAAACATTAAGGTCAGTTTTTCATAATAGGGCTAATCAATAGATGATGTCATGTTAGCCTTTTTTTTTACAGTCTGTGCAAACAGGGCGCTCACTTGCAGTGAAAATAAATATAATCTCTTTCTCAGGTTTTGTTCATCCTTACAATATTTGACTCTCTGACTTCATTCTACGCATCAAAAACGATAAAGAGTTGGATTTACTGATATAAAATGACTGCATTAAATAAACTTTATGTGAAGCAGGTTTTAGATAACATCACTCGAGCCCTTTGAACTGAACTCTCAGCCGAGCTCTGCTGGCACTGCTGGGACTCTTTCCCCAGCAGCACCCGTGTAATGGGACACTGCTGAATGATGCTGAGAGGAGCACCAGAGCAGCCATGGCCTGTTTCACCTGACTCGCTCCTTGTTGTCGTCCGTATACTCGCCCGTTGTTAGCTTGTCTTCTGCAGGTTAATTTATGACACTATCAACTGATCGGCTGCTGGCTACTGGATGCCTAAGATAATTACTAAAACCAATTACTTGGGGATAGTAACTTTGCGAGTGTTCCTTATTCTTGATGTATAATACATAGCAGAGGTGGCTGGGGCACACAGGAACAACATCCTGCTCTGGTCTGTTGCTGCTGCTGCTGCCATCCACAACTGATACCCAAGCATGTTAATGCACTTAGGAAAGAGTAAGTATGATACTAACTTTTTATACTAGCTGATCCAGCTTCTTGACTTACCTAAACATGTTTTCAGCTTTTACTGCAAACATAAACACGTCAAGGCTGCTTCATTTGGATTTCTTATTTGCAAACTTTGGGAGTGGCTCAGTAGTAGCCCAGTGCAGGCTGTATGGATACCGTGTGTGTGTACGCGTGCATATGTGAAAGTGTAATCTATGCTTTATCCTTACCATCCATGTGTCTCTGTTCGCTTTGTGCCTTTTCACTGCAAGCCATCAAAGGTCAGTAAAGTTAGTTCACTTGTAATAATTTGGCAACATTTAAGTCTGTAAAGATTGTAAAGTGTAACTTATGTTTACTATGTGGAGAAGTTAAGCTGCTACAGCTGTCGATGAACTGTTTGCAAGATTTGACATGCCTTATTCTTTGTACTTTTATATTATTTCTAATAAATTCTGTGGCTATGCTTTCAAGTTTCGTCTATTCACATGGGCTTATTTGACTTGATATTATGAGGATCTTTTTCTGTGTCTTTCCAGTCGTAGCCACTTGCTTCACAGAATTCTTTTACCAAGCTCATGTTGTCTGAGTGGGAGCGCTGCGTTTTTTGACTTTGATGAGCCCAGTGAGGCAGATTATCTCAGCTTGTAGACGGGCAAACTTCATGTGCCAAGGTTAAGCTGAAACGTTAACCTATTCATCAGGGTTACAGAGTAGCCTCAAGTGGCCAGACGTCTTGATGAGATCAAAGAGTGTGCCTTCACTTGACTTAAAAAACCCCCCACACATTTATATTTAATTTTCACATAAACAAGACACAAAACAACAGCAACAAAACTGAATTATTTCTATCAAATAATAGCAAAGCAGTAAATACATGCTCAGTTACACATCTGCATTTCATTTTTTGTGCACACAGACTATGGTTAATGCCACAACCTTTAACAGCTAATGAAAAGTGACAGGCAGCCAGTACTCTGGGGCACACAAGCTTAAATAACCACATGCATGCAGTCACAAACTCACGCACACTGCCTCCTCTAAAGGGTTACTTCCTTGCAGCTTGTGATCCTGTTGGAGGTGTCCACTATGAGTCCTTAGGTTTCGCCCTCCCCTCTCATGTGTCGCAGCATGTTGACACACACAGGCAGTGATGTATTATTGAGGATGTCTGTGGATTACTTGGGCAATGTACATTACAAGTCCAATTACCTACACAAGGATACATGTATAGGAGTCTAATTGCTCTGCATGGGCAATGGCTGATGATATCGCTGCAAAATAATGTGCCTGTCTGCCAGTTTTATCTTGCTGTGTGCAGGAATCTGTACAATTTAAATCATCTTAACTAGTTCAGATAAAATAACTGCAGGAGCTGAGTATAAGATGGCACCCTGGGTGGCAGTCTTCTCTCACCGCAAAATAAAGTGAAAAATGATAATAAAAAGAAGAAGAAGGCTTTTTGCATCACTGTGCACTTCCACTCGAGCTAGTTTTCTTTTGTGTGTGAATGGGCATCTATATGGGGAAAGGCTCATGCTGCAACAGAGACTAATTCCTGCTAATCCCACTGTATCTCCAATCTCTCAGAGCTAGTTTCCAATGGCAGCCCTGCAGCAGGGGAATTGCTAGTGAGATTAGCTTTCGTTAGCTCCTCCTCTGTTTGTGGTACTCACTGGCCAGGCTGGCCTGCCACTGCTAACCTTTTGCACAGAAATGGATTAATTGCTTTGTTTTCCCCCAAAAAATGTGCTGCATTGATTTCGGAGAATAATGTAAGTTTGACTTAGACAGTTGTGTTTTTGTCTTTGCTTTAGCTTTGTGGATGTGGTTCTTTGAGTTATGGGAACAAATCTGTGATGACAGACAGACACCTTTGAAGGATACACGAAAGACTCTCTTGAGATTTGGCTGTAATTGCATTTCATGTAATTATCTGATTGATCTGCAGAACCTGAACTTTCTTCTGCATATTTCCATGCAAAGACAACATATGGGTTTATTTACTAATAGCTGTTTGCTTTTTAAAATATATGTACATATTATCACCTTGCCATTTTGGATGTATCTTGCTGAATATCTTGATTAATTTGGTGTCGAATGATATCAGCCTTAAAAATTGGGAATGTGTTTGATTGGACCTGAAAGCAGGAAGCACACCCCTCTGAGTGTTTACAGAAAAGCTGTGACTTAAAGCTAAGACATCCCATTTATCTGTAACAGGACACTGAAGAGTCTTAATGAAGGCAAGCACAGTTGTTGCCTTTATTTTTATGCATTGTTATGTTATAAAGCTTCAATCTGCTGAAAATCAAAGCTATTTCCTCTAGATGTAATATTTACTGCAGATATAGATGGGCGTTAAATCCCCTAAAGACCCAATTTAACCCCCCATCTATATTGCATCCCCGGATTATCCTCAAGTAAAACACTTCCAGTTTAATTCCCAAACAAACCGTGAACTTTGAACACTCATCTGATTAAGCTTCAGGTGTTGAATTTAGAATCTGAAGGAAAAGATCTACTGTACATTATGTACTTGCACAATAGCTTTAAATCCCCTTCATCTGAGCTCTTTACTAATGTGTTTACTCAGTTCAGACATGGATTAATAACAGTATAGCTGCACTAACTGGTGTATAATATAGGTCACACACAGCACAATGTCCCCCCCCCCCCCCCCAACTTACCGCCTGCCCCTTCTCTATCACTGACCCACATGTACATGTGTTTTTCCCATTCTGCAGGAGATATCTCCTAAAGATGTTTCCACGATCAGGGAAATCGATTGTCTTTGACAACTTTCCAGATCCGACCGACACCTGGGAAATCATCGAGACAATTGGTAAAGGGACCTATGGAAAAGTCTATAAGGTGCTTAATAAAATAGATGGAAGTAAAGCAGCTGTGAAGATACTGGATCCGATCCATGTAAGTTGAGTTTGTTACATAGTAAGTAGTACATTGTGAAAGAGCTTTAAGACTTCTTCTATATTTTTTATGACTGAAACAAAGAAAGTAACGGCTACAATCTGGAATTGTAATATGTTTTTGTAATTTGTTTCTGTAAGTACTGGATCATATCACTTAATCTTTGAATTCAGGTGTTTTCAGGGAATCCAGCGCTTAGAATAGGTCATTCTATAGAGTTCACTGAATTTCAGTATGGCACTGCAACGGATGTCGCCATTGCAACAGGTGCATTTGTGAAATTTTTCCCTCCTAAATATTCCACATATTTCACATCTGACATTTAGAAAACACAGTGATTCAGCCACAAAATATCAGACCAAGAACTTATAGAGCGAAACTGATCAGTGCCAAGTGCACAGTGTGTAAAAATTACCAAAGCTCTGATGACTCACTGACCAGCTACAGATGAACCAGCAACAGTGTCATGGACAGTCAAAGCTCATTGATGTACACAGGGGGCAAAGGCTGACCATTGGGTCTGATCCAACAGATGAGCAGATGAGAGTGGCTCAAATCGGTAAAAATGCAATGCTGGTTGTGATAGAAAGGTGTCAGAATACACAGTGCATTATAGTTTGTTGCTTATGGGGCTATAGACCAGTCACCGTGCCCATGCTGAGGCTTGTTTGCCACCAAAAGCGCCAACAAGATGCCAACAATCGACCATCTGTGGATTGTGCTGGTCAAACAAGTGTGAGGCCCCAACTACAGCAAAAGGGGGACCAACACAATTTTAAGCATAATGTCATGTTAATGCCTGATTGGTATATATATCTATACATATTGTTTTGCTCTCAGTGATGGCACAAGAAGTACACGTTTATGTCTTGTGGCAAGTGTTTAATTTACATCATCGATTTCTGGGTGTTTTTACTTTCCTACATCTTTACTTTAGTTTTAGTTGATTGTTAGTGTAGTTTTCCCTGTTGTATGACACCTTAAATGTGATCAAATTTAATCTTTTTAAACTGAAAATGTGTATTTTATATGTTTCATTATTTTTTACCTTTTTTTAGAGATTTATATCTGGAACAGGGAGTGCACATGATCTTCCAAGGTTAAAAGTCATGATTTTTCTTTACATTTCATCTGAAGCGTGCCCATAGGCTATGTATACCAGCTGGTATTTAAAAGGAAATCTAAATAGCTGGGTAGAAAACTTACTGAGAAGTAAACAGTAAAGGCCCCACCATCTCACAAAGAAAGAAAAACCTTTATCATGTGAAAAACCTCTGGCTTTGCAAGCACAAAAAATCAAATCGTCAGTGTAGTCTGACTTATTAGCTCTGCCCTCGGTAAGATAAACATCACTCTGCTCTGCTTTGTTCTCAGCCTGTGAAGAGAATAAAGCCAAGCAGGTTGGAAACACCTCAAGCGAGATTCTTGTAACTATTCTTCCCATCTACAACCATCAGCAAATTATCTCAGAAAATTGCCTCTGATGATATCAGTTTAGCACTCTGATCATTTTGGACTTGCGTTGCTTGTGGGGTGCTTTAGCACAGAGCCAAAACACAAATTTGGCATTACAGCAGAAGTGTGTGAAGAAGGAGAAGAAAAAAAAGAAATGGCCTAATGAGAAGAAGACTTTGTCATGCTGCAGGGAAACATGATGTTAAACCTGACATTGTGGGACTGATCTGTCCTATAGAGTCAACATTTTTTATAATTACTAGATTTACCATTTACAGAAGATTACTTCAGATGTGTTACATTTCTGAGCATTACCATATTTGAGTAGTCTGTTTGTCACCGTTCTTCATCTATTGTGTTGTCTATTTTGAGTCTACGTTATAGTGCATGGTTTATTTAGAGGCATTTAATGAGCAGCAGGGTTCTTCTATTAAACACACTCTTCAAGTCTCATTAATTTGGGAGGGGATTTGTTTCTAATTATTAAGAAACGCAAAGCGCATCATTACCATAATCTTAATCACTGCACTCATTTCGTTCACATATAGAAGATGCAGTACAGATTTTTTAAAATACTGTATGTTATGTTTAGTTTCAAGCTTTATCTTTTTCTTTTTACATTTTTTTGATGAAAAGCGATTTGTAGTCCAGTAATTTTCTGTACTTTTGCTTTCTACCTTAAGCTACATTAAATGTATAAAGCAAAGTCATTTTACATTGTGGGCCACATATAGCCACTTTGATCTTAAGTGGCCTGGATCTTTGAAATTCCCATTTCTGTCAGTGTAAAAAAAAGTTTAACTGCACATTTAGTCCCTAAGAAATCTTCATATATCAAAGGTGCAATTTCAACAAAGTGTTAAGTAGTTTGTTGCCCTGTCTTTGTTGTAGTTATAAAACTTTTTTTTTTTTGTTTTTTACAGACAAAACATGAAAAAAAATGTAATTACTTTGGTTTAGTATGAACGCAGGAAGTCTAAAAAATTATGCCCTCCTTCACATTTTCCAAAACCATCCATTGGAATTAGAGTCTTTGCTGTGCCCATTTTGACCCCCAAACCATATGTTTGAAATCAAAAATCTGGTTTCAGGACTCTGTACGAGGGGTGTCAGACTTCCGATGCCACCAACTACAATAGGATTCTGCTCAGTACTATTTATTGTAGTACTGCTACTGTTTATCACTTGTGATATAGTACTAAATACTGTACAAGATTAAATGTCCGCCAGCACGATTTGCATTATATGCTAAAAGTTCCCGGTCTTTAGGCTTTAATAACCGTGCAACATTCAGAAGAAGAGTATACGATGACTGCTGTATTTAACATGTCCTGGATATGTCCTTTCGCCCACATTAAATTGCAGAATAAATGGTGGAGACTTTGCATAGTGTCCGAAGGTCGGTCGCTCTGTTTTTCTTTGATCAAATCAGGCAACCGATGACGTTCTTGATATTTAAAAAGGTTGCAAAGCAGTTAAATGAGGAGCTGCAGATACATGTCTTAGAAATCACAGGACAAAGAAACGAATCATTCTCAAAGTCTGGTTTATGGACATTACAGTGTCTGTGTATCTGTGATATCACCACAACTCTGTCACTGTTCTCTTGAATGAAGATTGTTGAGAGTATCCTCCTCATCACTACTGGTGTAGGAATAGAAAAAGTTGAGAGAGAAAGCAAATAAATTACAGTTTTCTCCACAAAGTCTAGAAGGTAAATAAATGAAAGAAAAAATGTAAGCAATAATAACAAAGTATCCATTCAGCTGATCTTTATATTGTTATTTTCTTGGTTAGAGTTAAACTAAGAGGACCGAGAAGCAGGATCCAGTGGATGGTTAGCTCTGCTTAGCATAAACACTGTAACAAGCAATAAATAACTTTGTAAATGTAACAACTTGTCAATCAGCCAATCCAATCCAACTTTATTTATAGATCACTTCAAAAACAACATGGCTTGTTGTTTTTGAAGTAAAAAAACAGTGATAAAAGTATACATTATGTAACACTTTCATACACTAGTTATTAATGAGCATGACTGTTACTGAGCCACTTACATGTCAGCTGATATTTGATATATTTATTGTAATAAATTCATTTGAATTCGGTTTTTGCTTTTTGAATTTTAGATATTTTACTCTTATGTATTTCTTGTCATTTCTTAATATTTGTATTTAAACATAAAATTATTTTAATATACAATTTTTGTTCTTTTTACAAATTACTTTTTACTTTAAAGCAAGATTGTATTTTATTTTATTAAGCTAAAACGATTCAAGCTATTAATTGGGTGTGTTTGGTCTTATTTTTAGCTTCTGTAACAAAAAAATTCCCCAACATTGGGATTATTAAAAAAGTAATAGCTTTTATCTTATGTGAAGTAACCCTCTCCAGTTCATAATTTCAAATTTTTTTACCAGTATGAAAATGGTATTAATATTATTTAACTCATGCCTAGACAGTAGTCCAGGTAGTAATTAGTATTACCTCTATTACTCTGTTATTTGGCATTAAACATTCAAAGATAAAATATGGCTGGTAAAAAAAAATAGCTAAAGATAAGATTGTAGGTGTTAAAATGTGTGTGTCGTACACACTTAGCTGATGTTTGCTCTTGTGTTTCAGGATATCGATGAGGAAATTGAAGCTGAATACAACATCCTCAAAGCTCTTTCTGACCATGCCAATGTGGTCAAGTTTTACGGGATGTATTACAAGAAGGACATCAAATGTGGGGATCAGCTGTGGCTCGTACTAGAGGTAAGAGCACAACATTGGCTGTGTTTTTGTCACAGGCAGATTTGACTTGGATCTTAGAGAGCATATACTGTAGGTGCAAAAGCCTTATTATACTACAAACAGGAAGTCTTGCCAGGTATGTACAGCGGTCAGGGATTATGTAACAGTTTTAGCCACAATGGGCAGCCTAGGAGTTTACTTATAGAGCACCTGGGGGATTTGGTCGCAGGCCAGTTAGTACCAGGAGGGGGGGAGGTTAGATTGCGTGTTGTGAGCGCCCTGCTGAGAGCAGCACAGCAGGGATTTCTGTTAACAGGAGCTGTCTTCATGTATTAGTTTATACACCCTCTGTATAAAGTTGGAGCACAGGTTGAAATGTTCCTTGTTGTAGTTGATTTCTGTTGTAGAACTGAAGATACAACACACTGAAATTGCCTTTTTTGAATTAGCCTTTCCTTGTTTGCACCTGCTGATGCACGAGAAAAGCCACATGCAGCCGTGATATTTTCATGAAGGTTCAAGGAGACCTTGCTACTGCTGCTGCTTTCAGTACTCCTCAAAAATCCTTCCTGTCAGCTCCCCCCGTTCTCCATCTTTCTCCTTTTTTCATTTTCTGCTGTAGCCCTTTAGAAATGTCAAGCTCCAGACAAACATGTAATGGAGGTCAACCTCAGAGGAGAGAAAGTGTTTGTGGGGTCGAACACTGTGTCAGATATTGGTTTTCTTTGCCTTTTGGCAGTCGGACCATGTAATTTGTGTTCCTGCTTTGATAGAGAGCAGTACAAACCTGGAGATGTCTGGAAAACACTGTCAGCAATCTCAAGGAGGTTTGATAAGAAATGAAACAGCCATCGTCCAAAAGGGTGGTTGATGTGTTTCTTTGTGTGTGTGTGTGTGTGTGTGTGTGTGTGTGTGTAGTGTTTCTGTCGAATGGACTATAATGTAATTTGTCTCAAGGGATGGAAATGTTGGTCTGCAGGTTAATTAATCACTTTTTTTCCTGAAATATCCCGTAAATACACATGCATGAGCCCCAGAGAGCATTTCTTGCTGCCATTGGTAAACCACTGTTTTCTGTATGACTTTGACAATTTATGTCACTGGGAGGAGACTTACGGATAGGCGAGGAGAAGCCTTCAGAGCTGGCTGAAGTAGTCCTCCAGTGATTAAGTCAAAAGTCTGGCTGTACTTCACAGCAAAAGATGCAAACTCAGCAGCCTGCAACAAGTGCTTTAAGGTGATACTAGCAACATCCCCCAAAAACCCGAAGAGGAGAGTCCTGGCCCCTAGCCCTGCCAGTGTAGCAGAAATGATGATGATCATGATGGCAGCAGCAGCCGTGCTTCTCTGCATGAGTAGCTTAATGTTGTTCGTGTATGTCTGTGAAGGTTCTCAGTCATCCAGGTCATCGTAGTCAAAGGAGCGTCTGGACTTCTGGACTTCTTTTCGTTGTTCGTGTGTAATTTACGTTGAGTAGGCTAACCACGTTATTAAATTAATGCAGGTAAGGTGAACTAGCAAACACCGTTGTAGTTACATGCGGCTGTCTTCTTGTTTGATGGCAGATACTCCCTTCACCCTGGCCAAAAAGGCTAAAATGACCAAAGAAAAAGTGGAAAACAGCTAAACATGAGAGGGTTTAAGTTTGTGTTTTTTCCATTGTTTAAGCACTGCTTCCAGCCAAGAGTGATACCATAAATCCCCTATAGCTGCAGAAAAGGCTAACATTGTTATCTTTTTACAAAAACACAGCTAAACATGAGAGGTTTTTGGACAAAGTTTGTGTTCTTCATTCTTTAAGCACCGGTTCAAGCACCGTTTAAGCACCGGCACCGTTTCAAAAGTATCGGTTTGGGACTGGTATTGGATAAAACCTAAACGATACCCATCCCTAGGCGTACCTATTTCACATTTGGATTGGATACTAGACTGGATATTGGTGACAACAGGCCAATCGATTCACTTCAGTATTCAGTATTCACTACACTGTGTATTAGCAGCAACTCGGGATTTTATTTCAACAGCATGCTGTGATTAAATTAGCTGAGATGACTGAACAGCTATATTGACGTCACTCTCAGACTTAACTATGACAAGAACATGTTGTCACCAACTCCATTAATATTATTTAAGTGTTTTTGTGTGAGGAGGAGTAAAAGGAGGTGCACTCAGACTGAGAGTAGGACAAAATAGGCCAGCTAGGCTCTAAATAACAGCAGTATGCAGCAGCCTGTGACATTCACACTTCACATGAGATGATATGAGACCAGTGTAGATAAATTTAGTAAATAACATAAATGCAATTTTAAAATCTTTATGTATTTTTGTGCTGTTGTTGCTTATCATCTTACTAATAATTTCTAGTCCTAGTTAGTGATATTATTGGTGTATCTGTATATTTGTTACCTTTTACTTTTTACGAAGTTAAGAAAGCATTATTTAAATCGAGCCTGATGTTGAATATAAAGAATGATTTTCAATCTCTTTTTCATGCTTATATTTTTTTTTTACTGATGTTGGATATCTCAGTGGCTCCATGCTGTGGTATTTTATACATTTGCCTAACAAACAAAAGCTCCCCTGGGTCATTTCTGTGAAAAGATTTTTTAAAAGGTTTAGATCTAAATGTGCTGAAATAGTTGATGTTGATACTTAGCTTGAAACAAAACCACGTACAAGCTTGTGGCATAGATAAATGAACCTCTTAGCACCACTGTTTACCCAACAAAAAATTATGCTAACCTTTAACCAAAAGCCCCATTTCCCCAGGCCATCTACAACCAGTTTCCCTTCCTAAACATCCAAACAAAGTCTTAAGGCTAAAAAAACAAAACAAATACAAAAGCTAAATGAAGACCGACAGGATTTCCATTTAAGATACTCATCCTGTTCTTCTATTACGCTACCTTTTTTCCCACTGTTAGGAGATTATTGTTTCACACTGAACATTTTTCCTTTGTCAGGTACAGCAGTGCTAGAACAGAGTGTCCATATTTCTGTAATCCAAGCTCAGTGGGCTTCACATCAACAGCAGCACTGTTATGCTAGCCCAATAGATAGTTTTCACCTCTCCATCTTGAGTTTCCTTCCCCTTTCATCAATCTCCTTTCTCCTGACCTTTGCAGAGGACCCTGCATTTACTTCTCTCAGATATCAAGATGCTGACAGCACCATCCTTTTGAAGGAAAACAAAGAAAGTGCTATTGTTTTTTTAAGATAGTTTCATGTGAGTGTTCAGTGAAATTATCTACCAGGGCTTAATTCCTATGAGTAAAACTATAAATCTGCTGTGATCTTTGTTTATTCCCCGTGGTTACATATCCACTCAAAATTTCCCTTGCAAATCTGCAACCAGCAGTCCAAATCTGGTGGCTAATCCTGAGGCTGAAATCACTGCCTGACAGTTTAATAAGTGGCTGTGTTGTGCGTGTGTGTTTTTGTGCTCTGAAGTAGATGCACATGGGGTTTTAGCAGTAAAAAAGACAGGAAAGCAGGGAGTGAGGTGGTCATTCACCATGGTTACTGGCCCTCCTTTCTAAACTGTAATTTTCCATCCTTTAGCTCTGCTGAGAGGAGCCTTTCTCTGCCCTGCACTGACAGCAGACCGCTCATTATGAGCAGAATTCATACAAATTGCATCCGCTACTTTGTTAGCCCTTCATTGGGGTCTACGAGCTTTTGGCTTTGCCTCTGTAGTGTTCTCCTTTATCACAGCAGATGCGGGCAGAGATGAGCATGCTTTCATGTATAAAGGCCTAATATTGCTACCAGAGAGCTTGAAAATACTTCAAAGAAAGTGACGCTAGAGCGACTTTTATTCTCTGACTGGAAATAAGGAGCTAATTTAGATGTGCATGTCATTTGTGAGACTTTAAAAGGTCATTTGTTTTAAATGTTCACCATCTTCTATCGAGCTAAAATAAAAAATGTTGGAGTTTTAAATCAAAATTGCATCACTCTGGGGATGTGCTTTTTAAAAAAACAATTGGGATTGCTAAAAAAATGTCATTCGTCATTCATCTATGTGTGCAGATTAATTTAATTAAACCCCGGCCGCTAAAGTGAGCAGCTCAGAGAAGAAGCAGAAAAAGATAACTCAATCTATTGAAGCGCAAACCTTTACACCATCATTTTCTATCACAGAGGAAATGAACAGCAAAAGCAAGCAGCAGTGGTAGGAGAAATTGGCTTATGAAGATTCTTTGTCAGGACCAAAATTGCATAAAGAGTCTGCACATGAAGAAAACAATAATTAGCATTGTTGTCTGGGGAAAGATAAATGATAAGTGGAAAAAAGAGATAAATCTCTCGAAGCTTCTCATTAGTAAGCCCATACAGCTTTCCCTTTCAGCGTGGCACAAAACACAAAAACTGGATCGCACGAGGACTTGACTCGAAGGTTCAGGAGAAACTTAATCAGGGCTCATCCTGGGCATGTCGCTAGTCTATCCCAGAGCGACAGAAAATCACACACTCTGAACTCTACACCTATGGTTAGTTTACAATCACCAACTAATCTAACCTACACATTTTAGGACATGTGTTAGGATGTGAGCCTTAATCAGTTCACAAATTCCCTAGTCATTGAATCAGTGCTTGAAAACACATGAAAAATTTTTTGCTTGTCCCTTTTTTGCTTTCCTGGCTTCATTCTACTTGGACACCCTGTCAAAGTCAACAATTTGTCTTGGATTTTTCAACCCATTTTCTCTCTCCAAGCTCATCCTCTTGACCTTTGCACTCGTTAATTGACAATGATGTTTTGAAATAGTTTCCCTCTATCAGACCTTTCGATAAACGGTGCCAGAAAGTGGACACCTCGGCTATTATGCTCCGTGTAAACGATAAGGCCACGGTAACAATGGGAGTGCTCTTCTCTGGAGATGGTCCAGCATGCCACACACACGTTTGTTTTCAGATCTTAATAAGGACATTGAATAGATACAATGCCTCGATTTCACTAACACGAACACTAACCCCCCAGAAATGAATGCTTAACCTTAAACTGAACTATAACCTAATTGTAACCCTAAACTCAAAACAACATTTTGAGCCTCAAAACATGCCTTCAAATTCACAAGGACTAGCATTTGGTCCTCATATTTATTGGTGGTCCCCACAAGTATAATGACAGTTCTTGGTCCTCATAAAGATATTTAAACAAGTACAAACACACACACACACACACACAGGGAACATGTTTCTTCGAGCCTTTTGCAACTCGGTATATCCATCCATAAATGAGGTAATTAAAAAAATACAATGTAAATTTAAACTTTTATGCAATCACACTGTTAATGAAAGATGGCTAAAGCGAGCACCTGTGTTTAGTTTGTTTCATCTTTACCTTTCTTTTATCTACTTCTTTGCTCGTCTTTGATGCAAAACTTGCATTTACATGACTAAACAAGCACCTGACCTCATTTGTAATGGAGACTAGACCACTCAATATTCAGTGTGTTCCTTTGTTTATTCTTTGACATGATGAGCAAGACAGAGTGCAAATCTTAACAAATCTTTTCATGCAGTGCGTTCCTCTTCCAAATCTGTGAAATGTGTAACAAGGAAAGATCAAACTCCATTGAATCGTCTCTAACTGTAAAAATGACTCATGATTTTTATGAGTGTCAGAAAGAAAAATAATTTTGAAGCCCATTGCTGGTACATTCTTCAATAGTGAGCAACATGTCAACATGGTTTTTCTCAATAAGGCAAAGGAGCAGATGAGAAGCCATCCAAAAAAACTGACCAAGTAACCCATTCCTGATCTCGGTGTGTCAAATACTATGGTTTTTTTTCAAAGCTGCTGGGGTTTTGCAAATGTAGAAACGGTGTCCTGGGAATACAGTACACTGGGTTACTAACTGGTCTCATAGCTAACCAGATTTAGCTGCTGAAGCGTGAGAGTTTTACTTCCTTCTTTTTACTTCCTGATTGACAAAAGGCTCTCTTTCAATCATCTTGTACTGAACTTTTAGGGAGTGGAAATGCTAAAGGAAAGGGATGTACTTCATTTATAACACAAGAAAAAAGTGCTTGAAAAGTGAGTACAACAAGAGTTCAACAAACAGTTTTTGTTGCATTAACCGTACCAAGGATTTTGTGGTACTTTAAACCTTGCCAATTATTTGTGATGCCTAAACATAATGACTGAATAAGAGTAAAGATAAAAAGCAAGTGAAAACTAATAAGAGTGTGAAAACATAGCCTCTAATTGGGCATGAACACTGGGCTCTAGGCTGAAAGCTTAAACAACGTCAAAGATTAACTGGAAGATGGCAAAAGCCATGGTTCAAAGCAGCCCAGTTCATACATGAGAGATAATGCTCAGCAAGTGCAAAAGTAAAGTAAAGCTGACCAGTTTGCATGACAACATGGGATTACAAAATGAAACCGGAATCAACGAGCACCAAAGAGGTCATAGATTAAAATTAAGATCCATGATTGACATTAAAGGCTAAGTTTTCCTGTCAGTGTTAAAATTTCTGCCTCTGAAAAGAAACCGTAATCTTGAGGTGTTTGAATATCTGTGCTAAAGCTCATAGAACGGTTAGTAAATGTGATTTAAGCAGTTAAACAATTAAATTCAATCATCTATGACATTCCCAATGTCGTTTCCTTTCTGCAGAGATTTAGGTCTTCACCACATCTCTAATAATTAATGTTCATGTCCAGGATCACTTGTTGATGTGGCCGCTGTGGCTAAGGTGAGAGCACTAACGTTTAGCTCACCTAAATCCGGAACATCGGACCTCTCATTAATATGGATTCCTTCGTCTGCCTCGTGTAATTTAATGATGACAGGTGATATGGCAGCAATGATGTGGACTGACGTCAGGCCCCGCTCATTGTCAGAGTGCTGTGCTGTCTGTGAAAACCTCTGCGGTATTCTCTGCTTAACTGCAGTTTGTCTGCACGTCTGATAGCCGAGAGGAGACGTGATTAAGCTTCCTATGTGGCAGCTGAGATACATGCCATCCATCCTGCAACAGTCCTCCGGGCTCCTGATGAATAGGCAGATTGATAGGCAGATAGAAAACAGACAACAGGCACATCATTGAAAACTTATGCCAGTGCACCGTCAAGGTCAAAGAATTGCTTCACCTTCAGTGTCGTAGAAGGATTACAGATTATAGTTACCATTCCAACCTTGGGCCAGCATTTCAATTTGAGGTTAACATATCAGGATACAAAGTCAAATGAACATGACACAAAACTACTAATGAGAAATAAAATGTATTTGCAGTGATATATAATTCCTGAAATGCACAAGGAAAGAAAGACAAAGTGTTTCAAAGAGATATGGAAATGCAAGATACACAAAGAAGTAACTTTGACTTTAGTGGCTCTTGTTCCGCCGGTACCACCGGGGCCTTTTACCGTTGTCTTGTTGAGGTATAATGCAAGATTACAGTACAGTATAAGATAATAATAATTGCAGAAAGTTGCTTCTTTTCATCTGGACGCAGTGCTCTCTCTAGGAGAAACATGTCATTGCTCATATTTCAGTCTTAGATAAACTTTTCCCCTGCAGATGAACAAATTGAACTTTCTGGGACAAGATAATAACTAGCTCAATTTTAAAAAGCTGTTAATGCTAAAATGCCACCCATCAGTCTATTATCTGCTGCTTATCTGGTCTGGGTCACAGGGGCAGCAGTCTAAGCAGGAATGTCCAGACCTCCCTCGCACGAGTCACCATCTCCAGCCCAAAACACCTCACCAAGGAGCTGCCATAGTCAGATTCCAACTCGATCCTTTAAAGCAGCTCTACAAATTACCTACTCCTTGTGATCTCACTCTTTTGGCCACCAACTACAGTTTGTAGCCGTAAGCAAGAGTAGGAACGTTGATCAGCCAGCAAATCAGTAGCTTTGTCTACATCTTCAGTTCTGTACCAAGCTCTAGAAAATTACTGCTTTGGAAAATGGACCAATTTTTATTACTTCCAGCTTCCCAAATGCCATGATTTGCTGCTTATATCAATTTTATGTGAATACCAATAGCGTCTCATCTATATTTATTATGTTTTAGACTGTTGGATGGATTTTTAAAAAGCATTTTGAAGATGAGATCTTTGTCTTCCAGTTAGTTTATAGACTAAATAAATCAATAAAATCAGTAATTGCAATGCTAGGTACTTGTAACCCACGAATTAACTACATTTAGTTAGTATTCACTGAGATCTTTAAATAAAGGAATGACTTTGTAGCTTGCTGTTGTCAGCACAAAATTTTTTTAAAGCCCTGTAGGTTGAATTATAAAGAGATCACTCATTGTTTGGCTATTTGGGCCCTCAGATGTTTACTTTACTCTTTTTGTTGTGGTGCTATTGTTGAGCTATGCTGTACCTTTTTCTTAGGACTGCAGGTAATGACACTGCAAGTTAGCATCATTATTTTCCATCTAATAAGGAGCTATTTCTTTACCCCAAATTACACAGCACAGTGGGTAAACATCCCTTTCCCTGAGAAAATAAATATTACACTGTAAGCCTCATTGTGTGCTTCCACTTGCAGTAACCTACCATTTGAAATGTGTGTTAAAAACTATTTTTGTTGCATTAATTGTGAATGGTAGTCTTAACATTTTCTCGCACGTGTTACACATTTTAAACAGGCTGATTTTATAGGCTGATTTGCTTTTAAATTACAAGTTAGGGAAATCAGTGTAGTTATAAAAAAGCAAGAGATCACTACAAAAAGCTATAATGGAAATTTCCTGTCTACCAGAAAATGTCAAGGATGTTTTTTATGCATGCAGTTAAGAGTGAAGATGGAAAATTGCTCATAAAAAGTTGAATGATGCATGTGTAGATGATATCTTTTACCATAGAGAGTAACAGCGTCTGTGTTTACAAACAGGGTTCGTATGCAAAGAGACGCCATTTCAGTCCACTTCCAACCCCCAGCGTCACTGATTGACATCTTAGAGCTTTTTATTTTTTATGCACTTCTGGCATCTCCCAAAGAAAGACCCAAATTAAGGGTTATTGTTGTTGCCAAGGCAACCTACTGGGTAATTTTCTGTAATTTTCCGGGAGGGATTGCTATTGACGGTGAAGTCCATATCAAGATGCTGTATGCTGCAAGGAAACACCTACAAACACAAAAGTCTATTTTTCGGGGGAGGAGGTGTTCTGCCGCAGTGAGGAATGTCCCATAAACGGTGTATAATTTCTAATATAAATCTTGGCTTTGTCTGAATGCATACGATTATTTGCTTTATTTGAGCCCGCTTAGTCATCACCGCATAGATTAAACCCTGCATACAAAATGTACATTCTCTCCCGCTAAGCTGCCTGAGAAAGATAAGCCTCTAAAGATTGATAGAATTACTTCCAGCATCATCCCCCTGTTTTCTCGCTGTGAAATCTTATGATCAAAACGCTTCACCCCGTGCTGTTTCCACATGAAAATTCGGCATATCTTTCCCAGAGTTTGACACATTGTGTAAGCAGAGCGTGTGCTGACTCATGGTGAGTTTTTGCTCATTGTCCTCTTTCCTTTGTGGACCCCCCACCCCCCACTGCAGCTCTGCAATGGTGGCTCTGTGACAGATCTGGCCAAGGGCATGCTGAAGAGAGGAGACCGAATGGATGAATCCATTATTGCCTACATCTTGCACGAGTCCCTCATGGTAAGCATTGGAGGGGGGTGACTATGATGTACCCCAGAGTAAACGGGGTGATTTTACAGGCAGGTGCTCATCAGGATAAAAGAAGCTGTTAACCTCTTTGTTTCGCAGGGCCTCCAACACCTGCACATCAACAAGACCATCCACCGTGACGTCAAAGGCAACAACATCCTATTGACGACGCAGGGAGGGATCAAGCTCGTGGACTTTGGTATGTGCCTCTTTTTGCCTTTTTAAAAATTTTTGGCATCCCTGTCCTCTAATCAGCAAAGAACATGTTATAGCTCTATTTAACGAAATCAATTACCTTCAGCTGTCTTACAAATAAACTGTGACAACAATTAGTTTCCCTGAGAGGCTGGACTACATTTATACAATCCAACAACGTGGTGGATGGTTATACTTTTCCACTCTGCCACAAACAGCTGCAGACATTGCTGCTGCTCCCACTGCGATTTCTTAACCAAATGAGGCTCGCTGTAGTTCCTGGGCTCAAGGATCGGGATAGGCAAATTGATTCTGATGGTTTTCCGGAGATGACTCACCCCTCCCCAAAAACCCCCAGCTGCCTGTTTTCATTACAAATAAAATCCCCCTCTCCATTTGTGCGTAGGTTTGCATTTACTCCTGCTAATTGTGGGCTTCTCTTAAAAGCCCTCTCCTAACAATGAAGCACAAAGTGCACTGCTTTTACACAAGAAGAACTAGAGGGTGGGGAGGTATTAATGGAATCACTTGATACTTGAATGGGAAGTAGCTAATACTGAGCCAGAGCAGCTTCTTCCTCCTCGCGCTGCTGTCATGGAGATTCTCAGCACCTGTTTGTTTGTTTGATGTTTACTGATGAAGTAGATCGAGATGTCCAAACTCTGCACCCAGAAGCATCACATAAGTATTCATATATAAATATGATAATGCTTCTGGTGATAAGAGATGAATCCTAGGATCTGGTATTCTTGGATTCTTTTAACAGTTGTGTGTTGTGTGTTTTATTTGTGTTTACAGAACATATTCGCTTTAAAAACTAAAAACAGTTACAAATACAACATATTCTGAACGGAATGGCAGAAAAGCATCCCTCGTAATCGGTCAAAACTATGGCGTCAGTACTAGTGGCTCTTATTATTGCATCTGAAAACTGCTTTATTCAGCTAAAAAAAAAACATTAAATACCTCTTTCTACGTAATTTATTAATTGTGTTTAGTGTGATTCATTTAAAAGTATTTATGCTGAAAGAAGAACCAAACAATCCTCCATGAGTTTGTAATTTCTCAAATTATTCTGTATGATCTGGTGGTTTGGCCGAGACCACACATGTTGCTTTCTTAGTTTTTGCTGCTGTACACTGAAAATCAGCTGTCACATCTTCAACACTGTGAAATGCTGGAGTATTCATAGACAGAAAAGGTAACCTGTTATTGGTTTCAGTTTTAAAGTGAAACAAAATGTTTCAGTCCTGTGCAAAAGTCTTGAGTCACCCCTCATGTCTTTAAATTTTGCTTCCAAGGAGTGAGGCCTTCTTTTAATTCTGTACTTGACAAATAGTTCTCCCATCTCTCTCTGAAGGTCTTTCAAAGATTTTCTTTGACCATTTTCAGAGGATTTCTTTTGTTTTTTTTTGTGTGTGTTAAGCCACTTAAGCCCGACCTATGAACCATTCAAGCATAAAAAAGCACCTAACTCAAGCGATGAACCAGTGTTGTGTCTACACATGAAAGACAACTTAGCAAAGAATCAGTTCTAGAACTTTTGCCTCACTCTGATTTAAATTAAAATGCTATAAACACTCACAGACGATATCACACAAATTGTCTGAAGCTATTAATCAGGTTATTGCAATCCTGGCATCTCCAACAGCATCCAGCCATTATTTCTGCGATATATCATCTCTTGCTTATTTACAATAAGAACATCTTATCAAGTGTTTGATGTTTCTCTGGCTCAACCTGTAATGAATGTCCAAGATAGGAAGGATATCGTATCTCTGAAAATAATTTATTACATACAAACATTGTTGGTTAGACCAGAGAGCCAGTTTCAATTCACCGTGTTTAGTGCTAAGCTCATGTAACTCTCACAGGAAGTAATTATGTTTAATGTTGGAACACGTTATCATCAGTAAATTGTTGCTGCATTCACTTTAAGGTATAAGAAAGCAGTGGCACCGCTGATCAGCTTATCTTCTATGAATAAATATTTGCCGCTGTGCATGACTGTTATCTGTTCGCACCATATTTGTGGCTGCTGGTTAGAAGTAATGCATGTGGATCAGTTTAGGGAAGATGTTAAAAGAAGCTGTATTATAAGAGGAAATAAAGTTTATATTGAAGTGTGGGTTTAAAGGAAGAAGAGCCACAGATTTTCCTGACAGAAATCTCTCGACATCTACTGGATGGTTCCCACTGGTTGAGGTCTTATCTATTTTAATTCCCTAGCAGATCAAATCGGTCATTTGTCCTGTAACTTTCAATTCAATTCAGTTTTATTTTTGTGCACCTCAAGCTGCTTCATATTGTAAGGTAAAGATCCTACAATAATACAGAGAAAACGGCAACAATCAGACGATCCTGTTTGAGCAAGCACTTGGTGACAGTGGCAAGCAAAAACTCCCTTTTAACATATGTATTCAAAACCACAAAACTAAAAAATGAAAAGCTTACTTGGAAGTCAGAGTCACTGTAAATAGCAGGGTTTACCCAATAACTAAACTTTGCTCCCCTTGCACCATAAATAATAATTCATTTTTATAGTTTTTAAGTTTTTATATTCTTGCCAGATTAAAAAAACTGTCTGCTTTCAAGTTTTCTCTTATTATTCTATGAAGTGTTCACATCATAGGCAGCACATTCAAGTAAAACAAGCTGTATGCATTACAGGAATTGTTAGGTTTGAGTGCTGCCAGCACAGAGATTCATAGGATTTGTATGGAAAATAAATAAGACCACAAAAACAAATGTTGTTAATTTTAGTCCACTAGATTAGTCTAAATTAAAAGGTCCATTTACTTTTAAAGTTGTAACTAGGGACACCACTGTATTCCTAATTTTGTCTATCAATTTTAAAGACAGCTGTCAGTCTCCTGGTCCTCTAATCTACATGCTGAAGTGTGTGTGTGGTAGTAAGGAAGGGCTTAAAGTCCCAGAATCAAGAGCCACATGAATGTGTGTGTGAACGGTGAATGTGGTTTGTGGTGAAAAGTCTTTGTTTACTGGTTCACACATCTGCTTTTACGGCAAAAACCCTTATCTACCATAATATCATGACACCACGCAGGCCTACATACTATTCAAGCAGCAGCATGTCCTCCACTACAAGCTCTCCTGTAAATCACACTTCTTGCTTTGTCGCTGCTTGATCTTCACTCTGAGTTAGGCTTTTCATTGCTAACCTTTGTTGACTTGACACGTTCTTGGTAACACGTTGCATGTGCTGTGGTTAGTTTCTTCTGGCCTCATCACAGTTTTGCACTTTATACATATATATACTCCATACATACTCCAGTACAGCCTGTAATCTACTGATTTGTGCTTTTGAACAGGATGTTTTCATTTGTCTGGTCCAATATGATGCCATATGTATTGATTCATGCCCATGTACTCAAAAAGAATATTTTTCACTTTTGAAAAGGAAAAAAATGTGTATATTTCGAGAGTGGAGGGGTTGCTGGTGGAGTGACTCATTTTGCTGAACACACTAGAGGTTTAAGTTAACATCATAAACATCACACATTCTTTGTATTATTTTTTTTAATATTTTATTACTTTCATAGCATTGAGCATTAAACACTATGTGGTCAAGATGAGAAAAATCTTTGTGGCTTGGGTTAAAATACATAAAAAATACTCTGGTTTCTTGATTTCAATCGTACGTGCTGCAAACACAAAACGGACTTCCTGTGAAAATAGTCAGGAATTCATGCTGACTGTCATGAAAAAGCGCAACAGTTTCTGTTCATGGCCATGCAGAAATAATTGCTTTTGGAATTATTTCCTGTTTTGCATGCTCATGCCATTTCAAGTAACGTAGAGTATAAGAGCAGGTGCATCGCCATCTTTGTCTCCCATTCTTACCAACATGAACTGAGGTCAGGCAGTTTTTGCAAAAAGACCTTAAAAAAGCATTTTCATTTATTTCTTCTGTTCTTCGGATAATTAAAAACAGGATTATTTGATTAGTTTCCATTTCAATTACAACAAGCTGCAAGGTCACTGTGAAATGTTTTAGTGCAATGACAACAGGCTGAATTCAAAGAGTATGCAGGCACCCGGGTTGAATCTCATTTATAAAAGTAGCTCCAACTTCTTTTGTGACGTCCCGCTTGCCAGCTTGTAAGCTGCTGACAGCTGAGATTTGAATGAGGTCTGTGACGTCACGAAGGAGGAGAAACAAACTCGCAGAGTGACGAAAATGGCGGCGTTGGGGGGGGGGTTCGACTCGAGCTTCCACGGGTACTGCGTCACGCTGGGATTAATGGTTTTTCGTGTGGAGGGGCACATGCTACACTGAGCAGCTGAAGAGATAAAGCCCCCGCAGTGACTCATCACCGGCGGAGAAACAGAACAGCAAAAAAAAGACGGACCCAAAAAAGAGCAGCAGAAGAATGAGGAGAGCTGCTCGTTCATCGGTCTCTCATGAATATTCTAATTGACGGCATTATCTCTGTGATGATTATTAAGTGTGTGGCCCACCAGGCTGCACTCCGGGCTAATGTAGTGGAAACAGAGGGGTTGAGAGAGCTTTAATAGGGGGCTTTTTGTGTACTTGTACTTTCACGCGCTGATATTCCTCACACGCCTTATATATCATAACAAACACATCAAGTTTGTGTATAAGGATGAATCCCTGTAAAACTCTGAGTTTGTCCTCACTAATGCGAGGTGATGTTAGTGTGTTTGTGGTTTTATGACACGATGTGACTGTCCCTGTGTGTATGTTCGCCTTATGCCTACACCTCCCCGCCCTGCACATGATTATAATCCCTTTTGATGTTTGCCACAGAACCATTTTCCTTTACACTGCTCATCCCAGCATTCCTCTCCACCCCTGGATTTAACCCCCAAGCTCCAACAGTGACAGCATTTAAATGGATGCGCAGAATCATCACCATGTCTAAATTTGCTGACATGGTTGGAAATACATTCATGTGGTGTAAATGGCTTTGTTCTGTTACTTAGAGATTGTGCCTGTCTGCACACTTTTGATGTTTTAAACAGATTTTTATGCAGTTCACCATCTGGATGTTTTGTTGGTACATTTCCTCAAATTGCCCTTTCGTTTCCTAAAAGCTTTTATGTTGCACGTCTGGCTGCTAAAACACATTTTGCAGAATCTGTCCGCCTCATATTCTTCATATAAAACCATGAAGTAGAAGACAGAGACGCGGTTCTGCAGCAGCATGTCGTGCATCACTACATCACCTTTTGTTTGTGGGTTGCCGCTTTTGTCTCGAGGCTTTGCTTTTGTCCCGGTCGCTGCTCTTGATCTGGCCGGCTGCTTCAGCAGAGCCCGCCCTGGGATACATCACAGTGTAGCGTAACACTGATTTGTCTGGACTGGACCGAAGTCACGATTGTGGGTCAGCATGTTCCTTGTCAGGCACATTAACACAGCACACACACACGTAATGACACACGTGTCCTCTTTTTCTCTCTGCAGTCCCATTTCTGCTGAACGTATCTGCCTCTGACTTGACTGCTGTAATGTGACTCGGGCCTCTCTAGCATCAGACAATAAATCACTCAGATGCGTCTTGTTCTGGGAGGAGGTGACACGTCTCCGGCCACCAGATCGTGCTCACAGTTGAATTGTATTCAAATGTTGTTCTTGAAATGCCAAAATCGCTTGCAGTCAAATAAGAATTTGTAATTCATGGCAGTCTATCATTTGGATAAAGAAAAAAAGCACTGCAGATGTTTATGCGTGTGTATTGTTTATTTCCTTCGTCACTATAGCGACAGCTCTATCAGTGCACGCTTCAAGAGCTGTTGGGCTCTCTATCACTTGAGCCGTGTCCTGCTGTTTACTGTGCACTGTTTCCCTTTTCACAGAGCATCACTTTTACCTGCCAGTGTGATCTTTGTAGAAATAAAAACATGTTATTGAGATATTTTGAATTGTCTCCACTGAGTCTTGTTTTCTACCCTGCAGGCGTTTCAGCCCAGCTGACAAATACCCGTCTGAGGAGGAACACCTCAGTGGGAACCCCCTTCTGGATGGCTCCCGAGGTACGGTAAAAGTGGCCTATAAATGCTCCCGCAGCCTCGTCTCTTTCTGCTACATTAGCCTGGAGCAGATCCCAGTGGACCACAGTTAATAATCATCAAAGAGATAACACTGTCAAATACAATGTGCATGGAAAAAGTGAAATGGGCAGCCTCCATCGTTCATCTCTTGTATAATCATGGCTGAGTGCACTGACAGTATGTATAGCTTGTGTAGAGAAGTGGCTGCAACAAAAATTGAGCGTTTTATACCAGTCGTATGTGTTTGAACCTTATTCTTTTTATAGCAGGTTAATGTGACTTTGTGCTGTGAGCTGGGCTCTCAGCTCGGGGTTCTTAACGACTCTCTGACACTGACTGAAAGGCTGTTTCTATATGATAGTGTTTTTCTTGCTTCAGTAATGCATTAGGGACTAAGCTGCAGTTTTTGTATGCTGTTATCTGTGGCCACTACTGTCAATGTTTATTGACAGCGTTGGAAGCTGTGCTTCCTTTATATTGCAAGTTAGAAGTTCAGTGGTGGTAGGTGAGAGTTTGCACATCAAAGTCTGTTTACAGGTCTTGAGGATGTGCTACTGCGTATTTGAAAAAAAGTCCAGCAACACCTTCTGTGCCTCCAGAGGGATCAGTGTGAAGTCCATTAAACCGCCTCAAGTGTTGTCACTTGCATGGAATAAAAAAATAATGTTTTTCAATAATGTAAAAAGTCAAAATTCAGAATAAGTAATCAAATTTTTTCTTTTAAGTTGACTGAGAAAATATTGTAATTTTTTTTTAGATAATTCATAACTTAATGAAAATTTTAAAAGCGAAGAAGAGGTGCTCATTACCATGTTATGAATGTTGATGCTGCACAGTTTATTCAACAGAGGCCACTTTGGAACGTCCCTGATGGCACCATGGTTGGAGCACCAGAAAAGCAACAACCTGCTGATCTGAGTAATAAATAATAAATAACTAGACATACTACTAACACGCAGTCAGAAAATCATGTGTCTAAAATAACAGTAGGAATCAGCTGACATACTGGAATATTATTGGTCCTGAAATTCCTATACTTGTCAGGCTCTAAACATCCCTTAATATCAAGGAGAGCAGGTGAACACACATGTTCCAACATATTTGGTCTTGTCTCCTGTATATTTTGACTTTCATACTCCCCCTCCGAATTGGCTCTCCAGATAAGGGAACACAGTGTGTCTCTGCATTATTAACAAGCAGCCAGGCTGTCCATAAGTCTTTTATAGATGCAAAACACCCCATCATACTTCCAAAGGCTTCAGTGAGAATGACATTCCTGTCGAGACTTCACCATACGGGGAATCGGCTCCTGAAACAATCCACTGCTGTCATGAAATTCAAGCTTAGTTCCTTTAATGGATCAGTACAATTTAACACATTTCATAATGTGCAAAACTGTCTCCATTTTCAGTTTGTGCTGCAGTCTTTGCTGTTTCACTACTGCTCAGCAAATAGTTGGCAAGTGTTTGCAGACAAGTCAGAACTTAGCATGCAAACTACAGGCAACCACAACAATCTGCTAACGACCAAAGCAATCACAAGGAGGTCTCAGTTTACCAAATATAACAACCAATTTTACTGAGCAACTGCCAGCCACCCCAGTAGGTTTTTAAGGAGTAAGACATTTAAATGGATCTTAGAATGAAACAGGGACAACAAACAAAACACACTGCAGAGCAAAACAGATTGCGTAATGTAGGAAAACAAACTTCAGATGACGTTTGGACTGTGCAGTGAATTGATTCATCATGAAAAAGGCTCGGCAACCCCTAGTGGAGCAACGGCATAGCAGAAAACAGAGATAACCTGAATGTTAGGAGATGCACTTTTAGCCTCTCAGTCAGACACCATTCATTTATTTTTCATTGAACTTGAAGCAAACACTTTTGGAAACCCTCAACAAGTAGAGGAATCTGTTAACCACCCATTTGCACGCTTAACCTCAACACTGATCAAGATTAGATGAGTCATTAGCGGAATTCGTGGGGATGAGATGGGTAAACTTATACTCAGCATACATGATCACCCCAGATCAACTTGCATGTTCACTTGTTAAATCAAAATAGCTTTTACATGAAGTTTGCATGCCGTGCAAATGCAGGGTGCTGCATGACGTGGTGTCGTTAAGGCTCAAGGATTTTAATCTTATTTGTTTAAGACATTTATTCACAAAGGTCTAAGAAAGGGCATTTACCTGAGTGGACTGAGTAGACAAGAAGCACTTGACAGAGCGGAGGTTTCTTCTTTCTAAATATACACTTTGGGGACAATATACAGCGCTGGCTTTATATAAAGTCTACTTCTAAAGAGGATTTGCTTATGTAGGTTTGACTTGGAGGTGAGCTGCATCTTTTCCGCACTGTGTTATACACATGTTATGTAGATGAGCTTTCTTTTCCAGAATAATTGTGTTTGGTTGTCGCTGTCGAGTTGTGATTTTGGCCGCGTTATGTGTCTATATTTGTGCGTTGGTTGGAAATAATTTTGCTGTTTAAAAGTCAGTTTGTCATGTCTTTGCAAATTAGTCTCCTTGAGGACAGATTTAACATTGATTTCTTTTAGTTTTCATTAAGTGTGTTTGCCAGCAACATGACGGAATAATGAAAGTCTTGGGGTTTTGTGGAGTGTGTGTCTTATTGGTTATCTGGTAATGATTTGTCTGGTCTGCATGCATTAGACTCTGCCTGTTCAGAACTAGAAAAACAAATTACTGATTACTGTTAAATGTGTGTATTATATGTGAGTGTGTGGTAATAACAATATGAATCTTGAATGATTCATACTGCTGATTGAGTGCCATACTGCCCGCAGGACAGTGATGATGGACTGTGTGTGTGTGTGTGTGTGTGTGTGTGTGTGTGTGTGTGTGTGTGTGTGTGTGTGTGTGAGTATGTTCTGCTCACAGCCAATGATAATGAGGAAGTTTTGGCTGAGCTGCTGCAGTTTGTTTAGTTCCTTTGTTGTTAGTGCACAACTTTT